GGCCTAAGCCAGCAGTTCGTTACCTCCCGAGGGTTCCCAGACTATGAGAAGGCACAAGTGGGGCTAAGGGACACCCCTCCCCCCCGCCAGAGCACAAATTTTTGTGCACCGGGCCTCTAGTCTATAATATATAAAAGCGTAAGCAACTGTTTGACCAGTAGCTATGATGCGCACTGACCACTAGGGGGCAGATGCTCAACACACAGGCATGGAAACATGGAACAGACTGATGAATCTCAGAGGGAAGGGAGGCCGGGGGAGGGTGGGAAGAGATTGACCAAAGATCTTATATGCATACTAGAGGCCCGGTGCATGGATTTGTGCACCAGTGGGGTCCCTCGGCCTGGCCTGCGGGGATCGGGCGGAAACTGGCAGTCCGACATCCCCAAGGGGTCCCAGATTGTGAGATCCTGGTGGTCAGTGTGTGTCATAGCTACCGGTCAAATGGTCACTTAGAGCAAGAGACAAATCCATGCACCAGGCCTCTAGTATTTCAATAAAAAGCAGTTATTAGCCAGTATTATTACACCCAAGAACTCTGAGACTTTGCAAAAGTATCTATAAAGAAACTCAGGACTGGGTTAGATGTAGGCTGGAAATACGGAGCCCTCTAGGAATGATCTGAAACAGCTCCAAGACCGGGCCTGGGGAGACTGTAGGATGTAACACAGAAGAGCAGAGAGGAGGCAATCAGGAGACCACAGCCCCAGCGAGGACCCTGCCACCGACTTGTCACCACCATCCTCTGCCCAGATGGAAGCATGTAAGCACCTAAGCTCCAGGGACCAGCAGTCACTGCCCTTTCCTGGCAGTCCGGCCGAGATCTCCCAAAAGTATGTCTGAGCTCAAGAGGAATCCCTATTGTTAGAGCTGGACTTGCAAAACCTTCCCCCAGTCCTGCTTTGAAGTTAGAGCAAGAGACGGAGGCAGGGTGGGGAGTCTGTCCCACACTGAACAGGGACTGAGGCAGATGGTCCACGACGCCCTCCGACACCACCGGCTCACAACGGGGAACGGACAGCTCCACCCCAGAGGCTGCTCAGTGTGCAGTGCTGCTGGCGCAGGGGACGGGTTCATGAGATATCTGAACAAATAGCCTTTCAGCACAGACATCTCCTACTAACTCCAAAACTTGAGCAACTGAGTTCCAACTGGAGACAGAAGTAATCATTCTTATTGCATCATTAACTGGATTACATGATTGCTGTTATTTATGAAATGGAGGAGATAAAGTATCGAAAATATAAAATGTGGGGGAAAATAGACAATTTCCTCAATGTCACTGCAGGGAGCAACCTGCCAAGGAGCAGGTGAAAGGGACAGGTCCTGGGCAGCCCAGGACACGTGAGAGCTGGCTTGCAGCTTGGCGTGGGCACAGGATTGAGAGATCTGGCAGCTTCCGATCATTTGTGTATCAGCTTTCCTGCCTCAAGGGGGAGCACCAGAGTGCCTCTAAAAACAATGCCTGTGTCAGGATGGGATTTATGACATTACTTCCAGTGAATAACAACCAATGGCCCCTAGAGTGGAATGCCCAAAATTAAGGGAGCATTATTACTAATAATAGCTCTTGGGAACTTATCTTGGCGCTATACTTGCAAACATGTTAATGGTGTCTAGGTAAGGTTACTCATTGCGGCATTGTTTGTAACAGCAAAATCTGGAAGCAATCAAATGTCCATCAGCAGGAGGGTGTTAAATAAATCGTGGCAAAGTGGTATAGTGATGGGGTAGGTGTAGCTGTAGGAAAGAATGAGGATGCTCTCTAAGTACTGGATAGGTCAAAATATATATTAAGTAAAAGGGAAAAAAGACAGAATGGTGTTCTTGTATTGTACCTTTTGTGTAAAAAAAGGGGACGATAAGGATTATTTAGACATAATTAAGACTAGTCGTAACATACAGAGGGTTTTGGAACTGGGCTAAGAGGGGACAAGAATTAAAAACAGGACTCCCTAAATACATACCTTATCATTTCTAGGTTTTAAATCCAGGCTTAAGAGGTTTGAATGTATTAATAACCAAAATGTTAAATTTCAAAATTAAAAAATGATAGGACTAGAGTTGTATATACATATCCTTGAATATAGACAATTCACAAAGGAAACTGCTAAGTGTGGCTGCCTTTCTGTCGGGGGCTGGAGTAGGAGGGAAGACTTAGTTTTTGCTATAAACCCTTTTGTACCATTTGTATTTCTCTTTTTTTAATTTTTACAAAATGTATTGATGTGAGAGATTGACTGATTGATTGATTTAGTTGTTCCACTTATTTTTGCATTCATTGGTTGATTCCTATATGTGCATTAACCAGGGATGGAACCCTCAACCTTGGGGCACTGGGACGATGATCCAACCAACTGAGCTACCTGGCCAGGGATGTACCATTAGTATTTCTTGTCACATGCTTGTATCCCTTTTTGTTGTTGTTAATACTCACCTGAGTATATTTTTCCATTATTTTTTAGAGAGTGGGAAGGGGAAGAGAGAGAGAAAGAGAGAGAGAGAGAAACATTGATGTGAGAGGGACTCATCGATTAGCTGTCTCTTGCCCACAAACAATCAGGACCAGAGAACCTGCAACCCAGGTACGTGCCCCTCACTGGGAACTGAGCCCATGGCCCTTGGTGTGCATGCCGACACTCTAACCACTGAGCACACTGGCCGCGCTAGCTGGATCATTTTAGACAAGTTACTTTTTCGCTTTTGTATGCAGTAACAAAATTTTTAGTTAGGCACATGGTTGCCAAGTAAATAAAGTACATTTTCCAGGCTTCCTTAGGCCTGGCATGGCCTTAAGATAGAGTTCCAGCTAGCGGGATAGCTTTTAAGTCCTTAAGGGGGAGAAATGTCCTGTCTGCCTCCTCTTTCCTTCTTCCTTCTCTGGCTGAATCCTGGATGGTCCGTGAGCCACCGTGGGCCAGAGGGACAGGAATAAAATCTAGGGATGGCAGGACACTGGAGACAAGGGGAAAGCTGTTCACCCCTGGACTGTTAGGTGAAGGGAAGTACACTCGGTAGCGGGAGAGAAACCCGTTCTCCATCTACCAGAGCAGCCAGCATGGAGGAGTGTGGGCAGAGTAAAAAAGATAGAGAAATTGGGCTTTCGTGATGTATTTTTGGGCCATGCATTAGCCTCAAGTCAGCCCTTGTTCTGACCACACAATTACACAGACCAGTCCTTCTTCCCCACGGCTATTTTCCGCCCTTGTCATCGGAAGTGTTCTGGTACTGTTACAGTAAGCAATAGTTTCACCTGCACCTTTCAGGTGAGGAAACGATGCTCAAACAGGTGCAGTAACTTGGTGGAAGTGAAGCCATCTGGGCAGGTGAACTAACTGGGTGAGTAACAGGTGGAGCCAGAATGGAACCCAGGTGGATCCAACCCATGAACCTGAATGCATCATCTCTTCCGGGGAGAGCCTGCGCTCCTCCAGGCTCCCCACCTACCAAGAGCGTTGGTGAGTGATTAGCTCCCCCAAACCTCTCACTGGCCACGGGTTGTGCTGCGAGCCCAACTGCCCAGCCCCGGGGTAAAGGGGGACCCAGGCAGGGGAGGGGGAAAGAGGGTACAGAACCTTGAGGTTGGCCTGTGCGAACTCACCTCAGCACGCGCTTGGCAATCACATCCACCTGCTCTGAGATGGCACCCAGCTGCGTGCGACCCACAGTAGGACGTGTCCACAGGAAGGAGTGTGCTGGGGAGACCAAATCCTGCAAGCGGCAAATGTGACCCTGGAGAAAGAGGCAGCCATTCAGTGCACTGGGGACACGGCTGACACGTTGAAAGGGGAGAAATGGGGGGCTCCGCTCCCTTGGTCTCCCGGAGCTCCCAGCCCCACCTGTCTCAGCAAGATGATCCTCTCCACATAGGCTGGGTCCAGGACAGCCCTGTCTGGCAGCTGGCTCCCAAATGCCTCCTCTACGAGCAGCTGTAGCTTTTCCACCAGCTGGCGCCTCTGGGTCTCATTGCTCACCAGCCGACGAAGGTGCAGCCTGGAGGAAAAGCCAAAGGAGTTCTCTACACTTACAGAAGGAAAGAGACCTGGCCAAGGTCTGAAATAGGTAGCCTGAGGGCCCCAAGCAACCCAGATACATGCTGCTTTTAAAATAGTAGCTAACGTGCCCTAGCCAGTTTGGCTGTGGACTGAAGGGTCTCGGGTTTGATTCTGGTCAAGGGCACATATCTTTTTTTTTTTTAATATATTTTATTGATTTTCCACAGAGAGAAAGGGAGAGAGATAGTTAGAAACATCGATGAGAGAGAAACATCGATCAGCCGCCTCCTGCACATCTCCTACTGGGGATGTGCCCGCAACCCAGGTACATGCCCTTGACCGGAATTGAACCTGGGACCTTTCAGTCCGCAGGCCGACGCTCTATCCACTGAGCCAAACCGGTTTCGGCAAGGGCACATATCTTGACCATACCTTGACAACCATTTCCTTGGTTGCAGGCACGATCCCCAGCCCTGGTCAGGGTGTGTGTGGGAGGCAATCAATGTGTCTTTCTCTGTCTCTCCCCGTCCCTCCCACTCTCCACTCAAAAAAAAAAATCAAAGGGAAAATATCCTCGGGTGAGGATCAATAGCAATCTATACATACAAGCTTAAGTGACAGAAGGACTGAAAGCTGTGACATGCACTGACCACCAGACAGCAGATGCTCAATGCAGGAGCTGCCCCCTGGTGGTCAGTGTGCTCCCACAGCCAACCTCCCGCAGTCCCTACCCCTGGCTCGTCGGCCCAATGCGCTTGATCAGGACTGGGTGAGATGGGCCGTGATGGGACCTGATCGGCCCAATCGCCTGCCAGGCCAAGATACCCCATCTGTACACGAATTCGTGCACTGGCCTCTAGTAAAAAAATAATAGCTAACATTTTTAAACTAGAAAGAGATCACACAAAAATAAGATATTTCTGGCCTTGGCTGGTTATAGCTTTATCCCAATACACCAGCCAAGGTTTCAGGTTCAATCTCTGGTCAGGGCACATAAAAGAATTAACCAATGAATGCATAAATAAGTGGAAAAACAAATTGATGTTTCTCTCTCTCCCCCTCTAAAACAAAAAATCAATCAGTCAATAAAAGAAGAAAAGATTTCTGACTTCTCTTGGCTGCAAAGGGCCCTGGTTCCCCATACCTCAGTTGGACTGAGCAGAGTAGAGGTTGCCCAGTTAACAAAGATTTCCGGTTTGCAGTCCCGGGCACTGATGCAAGGAGTGTACCAGGAGAGTCGGTCCCCCAGTGCTTCAGGGAAGGCGCAGGAGTTGCTGCAACCGTGACTGCAAAGCTGCCTGCTGTGTGCCACCCAGTCCCTTAGACTGGGACATGTCAGCAGTGATGGGAAGGGTAACTGTGTCTGAAGGTTTCTGAGTGATGGACCCTTGACACATGGAGGAGGTGACAGGAGACAGTGCTCCTCCGTGTTGGCAGGTGACATGAGAGACAGTGCTCCTCCGTGTTGGTGGGTGACATGAGAGCCAGTGCTCCTCCGTGTTGGCGGGTGACATGAGACAGTGCTCCGCCGTGTTGGCAGGTGACATGAGACAGTGCTCCTCCGTGTTGGCGGGGGACATGAGAGACAGTGCTCCTCTGTGTTGGTGGGTGACACGAGAGCCAGTGCTCCTCCGTGTTGGCGGGTGACATGAGACAGTGCTCCGCCGTGTTGGCAGGTGACATGAGACAGTGCTCCTCCGTGTTGGCGGGGGACATGAGAGACAGTGCTCCTCTGTGTTGGTGGGTGACACGAGAGCCAGTGCTCCTCCGTGTTGGCGGGTGACATGAGACAGTGCTCCGCCGTGTTGGCAGGTGACATGAGACAGTGCTCCTCCGTGTTGGCGGGGGACATGAGAGACAGTGCTCCTCTGTGTTGGTGGGTGACACGAGAGCCAGTGCTCCTCCGTGTTGGCGGGTGACATGAGACAGTGCTCCGCCGTGTTGGCAGGTGACATGAGACAGTGCTCCTCCGTGTTGGCGGGGGACATGAGAGACAGTGCTCCTCTGTGTTGGTGGGTGACACGAGAGCCAGTGCTCCTCCGTGTTGGCGGGTGACATGAGACAGTGGTCCTCCGTGTTGGCGGGTGACATGAGAGACAGTGCTCCTCCGTGTTGGCCGGGGGAACGGGGTTTAGGAGGCGGGGAGATGTTCTAAAATGAAGACGCCACCCAGGCTTTGGTAGTCAACAGAACCCATACCAGGGGTACACAGGAATAATGGTAATGAGAAAAGGATACCTACCATTGGTCGAGCACTTTCTATGTGCTGGGGGCTGCACAGATACTTTGATGCAACATTGAATTTAACTCTTAAAACAATTGCACAGGGTGGGAACTCTTACTAGCTCCATTTTAGAGGAAACAGGTCTGAAGAGGCGAGGTGACTGCCTGTGGTCACACAGCACTGAACACCTGAGCTCAGTCACAATCAGGTGTATGCGACTCCGGAGCCCACAGGGCCTGTGGGGGCCCATCGTCAGCAAGAAAGCCCTTTCCAGCAGGGCCCTCTAGTCCCCACTCACCTGTTGAATTCTGGGAGCTTCTCCAGGTCTAGCAGGGCTGAGTGGCAGGTGATCCGGGTCAGGTCAAACTGTGCTACGAGCTCTGGCAAGGTCCTGCCCATCTGGTTCTCTGCAAGTGAGGGAAGCCCAGCGCTCAACTCCCTCCGACGTTCAACTCCAAGGGAGGCCGAGTGAGCACTGGGCCCCCCATCCCATTTCCACCAAAGGGACTCAACCTCTAGCTGTTTTTACACCAAGGGCCCAAATGAGCTTTCACTCGCAGAAAGGCTTCTGTCATTAAGGAAAAAAAATGGTGTGAAAAATGGTTTAACCACTCTGCCCTCAGAGACATGAGCTGCAGGGACGGCACCCACTGTCTGGCCATCCTGAGCCCCTGACCCCACTGGTCCGGTGGGATCTGGCACCAGTGCTCTAGGAGCTTCCCATGAGTCCAAGCGCAGCCAGAGTTGAGGGGGCTGTGCGGGGCTGCTTCTCTGAGCAGCAGCTGTCCCACTGGGCATCGTGGGGACTTCAGCCGACAATAACCTGTCACATCCCCTACTAGCTGGGACACTGGCAAATTCCCTAACCTCTGAGACTCCCAAACCGTGGAGATCGTACCTCCCAAGGATATGTTAAGGATTAAATAAGAGCAGAATAAACAATAAGGAGACTGTAATTGCCTCATTATCAGAAATCTCCCCACAAAGAGGTCATCCTAGCCTATTTGGTGCTTCTTGAAGATTTGGGCTCTAAGTCTTGGGCCAAGGATAAGGGCTTAACTTGGGATAAACGATGGTCCCAGTAATACTAGTGATGCTGTTGGAGCAGTACTATAATTGTGAAGATCACAGCAGCTGTCACTTTTGCACCCACTGTGGGAGATACTGTGCTGGGGCCTTAGACTCATGAGCTCAGTGAACCTAACTTATGCCTACGAGGTAGGCACTTAGCCCCGTTTTATAGATGAGGCAACCAAGACTGAGATGGCAAGCTCCCCGAGGGCAGGGATTATGCCTGTCTTTTCACTGTTGGAGCCTCAGTACTGGACAGTGTCCGGCTCAGTAAACATTTGTGGAATGAAAGCATGAACCCGTGCAAGTTGACGCAGCTGGTAGGTGGCACAGCCGGACTGCAGACCAGGTGGGCCTGCACCCAAGTCCTGGCGCCTCACTGCTGTGGTCCCACCGGGAACTCTCAGGTGAGTGGATACCTGGGAACCCTGAGCCACAGTTAGTGATGATGTCGAGCAAGGCGTCTGGTAGGAAGCCGGCAGCAGCAAAACTCTCCAGGAAAATGTCCCCCTGCCTCTTGGACAGCTTACTGCCGTCCCTGTTGAGGAGCAGGGGCAGGTGGGCAAAGCGAGGTGGCGGCCAGCCCAGGGCCTGGTAGAGCAGCAGGTGCTTGGAAGTGGAGACCAGCCACTCCGAGCCACGCAGCACGTGGCTGATGCCCATGTGGTGGTCATCCACCACGCAGGCCAGGTGGTAGGTGGGGAAGCCATCGCTCTTCAGGATGACCGGGTCCCCCTCCACACTGGCCACTTCATGCCGATTCCAGCCGTACACCAAGTCCTGGAAGGCTGGGGCCTCCTCCTCCAGGCGAAAGCGGATAGCAGGCTTGGGGTCCTTGGCCAACTTCTCAGCTACCTGCCTCTGGCTCAGGTTCCGGCACCGATTGTCATACCTGTTGGGAAGTAGAGCGGCATAGTTGCTAACAACACTGATGGTGGGCATGAGCCCTATCTGTGTCTCCGAAGACCATATGATCTTGGGCAAAAAAGGCCATCTTCTGTGGGTGGGTAAGTACAGAGTTTATAATAAAGAAGCAGTTCTGCAGTGGATGTCGTGAACTTATCCAAACATCCGGGCCCTGGTGCCAACGGTTCACTGAAACTGGAGCTTAAGTTATGAGGCCGCCGCTAATGGGAGTGCAGCTAGTGCGGGGCCCCCAGGCAGCACGTCTTGGAAGGTCTCTAACAAAACACACATGTGTGCAAAAGGATGCCTGTCAACATCCTTTGTCACAGCTCTTTCTTTTAAAAACACACACACACATATATTTTTATTGATTTCAGGGAGGAAGGGAGAAGGAGAAAGAGAAACATCACTAATGAGAGAGAATCGTTGACCAGCTGCCTCCTGCACGCCCCACACTGGGGATCGAGCCCGCAACCCAGGCATGTGCCCTGATTGGGAATCGAGCTGTGACCTCCTGGTTCATAGGTTGATGATCAACCACTGAGCCACACTGGCCAGGCACAGCTCTCTTTTGTTTAATCCTCACTCAAGGATATGTTTTTATTGATTTTCAGAGAGAGGGGGAGAGAGGAAGAGAGAGAAAAACATAAACGTAAGAGAGAAACACTGCCGAACCGGTTTGGCTCAGTGGATAGAGCGTCGGCCTACGGACTGAAGGGTCCTGGGTTCGATTCTGGTCAAGGGCATGTACCTTAGTTGCGGGTACATCCCCAGTGGGGGGCGTGCAGGAAGCAGCTGATGATCTCTCTCATCGATGTTTCTAGCTCTCTATCCCTCTCCCTTCTTCTCTGTGGAAAATCAATAAAATATATTTTTTTAAAAAAAAAGGGAGAGAGAGAGAAACATGACTGACTGCCTCCCACACGTGTCCAGATTGGGATTGAACCCACAACCTAGGTATGTGCCCTGAACCCACAACCTTTTGTGTATGCAACCAACTTGGCTAGGGCACAGCTCTCTTTTTTATAACAAATACTACAAACGACATACCAGTAAAGGTTCATTATTAAGGAACTGTTTAAGTAAATGATGGTATATCCATACAATGGAATACCATGTAAGCATAAAAAAAACTGTGGACTAAAAAAACAAAACAAAAAAACTCACAAAACAAAAAGACTGTGGACTGATACAGACTGATCCTTGAGACAAGAAGTCGCACAGTACTCACTGTGCTACCATTTGAAGGGGGAAGAGAAATAACAGGCATGTATCAGCGTACGTACTGATGCCTCTGCAGGAGACACGAGCAAGTCCTAACACCAGCTGTGTCTGGAGAGGACCTGAGTAGGTAGGGTCAGTGTTGGGAGGGAGCTTTGTGCATCTATTTTCCTGAACATGAGAAAATCCTACTTACTAACAAATCAACAAATAACAAATAACAAATCACTAAAGCTACTTGATGTGTTACTCCCTAGGACCGAACGCGGTTGGCAGTTCAGACCTGGCCCCCGTGACCCCCACCTGCTGGTTTCTGTCCTGGTGCCATCCCCTTCCTGTGAGTACGGGCTGGACCTGGTGACGGTCTCCTAATGAACAGGGTACAACCAGTGATGAGCTGTCACTTCCTCGAAAGACTTTGGCCTCTGTCTCACTCGCTTGCTTTCTCCCTGGTCTCTCGGAGGAAAGCCCGGGCTATGCTGTGAGCTGCCGTAGGGAGAGGCCCACGTGGCAAGGAGCAGATGTATCCAGGGAACACCAGGACACCCCGAGGCCTGCCGACAGGAGGGAAACGGAAGCAGATCCTTCGCGAGCTGAGCCTTGGGAGCGACCCTGAGCTAAAGGTCCAGGTGAGCATGCCCAGCGTCCTGACCCATAGAAACTGTGAGCCCGTAAAAGTTTGGGGGTAACTTGTTCTGCAGCAACAGCTAACAAACACACCCGACTTTGGGGAGGCAGCACGACAGGCCGGGGCTCTCACCGGGGTGTCTGGCGGCTCCTCAGGGCCTCCTTCTTCAGCAGCTCCAGCCGCTGTGACGAGCAGAAGCAGGGGTAAGCAGCCCCGGTCTTCAGCAGAGCTTCTGTGGCCTGGGCGTACAGCTCGAGCCGCTGGGACTGCAGGTAGGGCCCCCTGGGGCCTCCGCGGTGTGGGCTCTCGTCAGGGGGGATGCCTGGAGCATGGTGAGAGCAATCGCCAAGTAATAAGATGCACGTGACACAGGCTCTCAGGCACTGCTCTAAGGCCTGGCAAACAGCTTTTAGTCCTCCCGACAACCGCAGATGAAAATTCAGGCACAGAGGTCCCATGCTCAAGGCCACGCAGCCTGGTGGATGAGGAGTCGGGCGGAGGCGTGCTGGCTCCACGTCCACACTCCCAACTGTACTTCCTCTCCATCCACCTTTTCCCTGGGGAGGGGAAGCCCGCCCAGGCCTGGACCAGCCGACTCAGGAGGAAGAGTGTGGTTCAGGGCACAACCCATCAGGCCTGGCTGGACTCCGGGCTTTGTCTGTGCCAGGGACCCAGGTGCCAGAGCACCAGAGTGCTAAGCACCTGCCAGCTGCTTTTCTATTTTGTGATCTTCACTAAGCCTCAGAACCACCCCAGGAAGATGTCATTATCATCCCCATTCACTAACGATAACACGGAGGCACAGAGGGACTTTGTCAGGTAACTTGGCCAAGGATAAGGGGCACAGCTGGATTCACACCCAGGTGAACTGGCCCAGAGTCCATGCTCTTAACCACTCCCTGCACTGCCTCTTTGCATTCCCTTTTCTGAAAAGTGCAGCCGACAGCTTACTGTGCAGAGTGACTGAGAACTAAAAGCATCAGTGGGCCCTGGGCGGTGTGGCTGATGGTTGGGCATTCCATGCACTGAAAGGTTGCTGGTTCGAGTCCCAGTCAGGGCATTCTTGGGCTGTGGGCTTGATGCCTGGTGGGGTGTGCAGGAGGCAGCAAAGTGAATGTTTCTCTCTCTCTCCCTTCCTCTCTCTAAAAATCAATAGAAATATTGTTTTAAAAAGCATCAGTGCTCACAAAGCACATAGCCCTCTAGCAGCTGCACTATAAGCCCTGGGAGGAAATGTGGTCTATTTTCAGCCAAACCCCCAGCCCATGGTCCAGGTGCCTCAGGTCACAGAGGACGTGTTGAACTGTGCACGCTTCCAGGAGGGGGCAGAGGAGACACAGAAGAGTTGAATGATAGCCATTCTGCCCTCAAAAAGCTTTCAAATGCATCAGGAGCAATCCCGCACCCCCGACGTTCACACAAACTCGGGAGGGGACAGGCCGGGTTCAGGCGCACTGGCCAGCAATGAGACCCTGGGCGAGTTGCCGTTCAGGGCCTCCGTGTCCTCATTTGTAAGAGCAACAAACGGTGCCTTCTCCTGAGGCTGGTCACGCGCTTCGTGCGCTGCCTGGTATGTGCCAGGCGCTCAGCCAGCGTTGGCGGTATTAGTATTACGCAGCTCCCTCTCCCACTGGGCCTCCGTTCCTTCATCTGGCAGAAGAGAAGGCTGGGTTAGGTACACCGGGGTCCCTTCCTGATCTACCTGAATGTGTTCAGCGTGTGGAACGCCCAGGGCTTCAGAGTAACTCCACTAGAGGAATTGAAAACGTATGTTCACATAAAGACTAGGACATAAGTGCTCACAGCAGTGACTTATAATAGCCAAAAAGTGGAAAAAAGCCAAACACCCCCCTTCAGGTGAATGGATAGGCAACATGTGGTATTTCTGCACAATGACCGTCCTAAAGAGGAATGAAGTGCTGACATATGCGACCACACAAACTTACACTAAGTAAAAGCCAGTCATCACAGCCACTTACTGTGTAATCCCTCTTATATGAAATGTCCAGAATAGGCAAACCCAGGGACAGGAGCAGATGAGCGGTGCCAGGGGCCGCGGGGGAGGAATAGGTCCTGGGTTTCATGTTGCAGTGACGGAAATGTCTTGGAATTAGAGAGTGGCGATGGCTGCACAACACGGTGACTACACTAAATCACTGAATAGTACATTTTGAAATGGTGAATTTCGTATTATGTGAATTACATGTCAACGCCCCCCCCCCAAAAAAAAACCCCTAAAGAGTGACTTCCTGAAGCAAGCAGTTCCAGGTCAGCCACCCTGGGGTGCTGGGCAGCTGCCCTCTGCCTCACCAAAACGCTAGGGTGGGCGTCATTCACACACGCGTGCTGCACCAGGGGCTCCGCGAGAGCAGACCTGTTCGTCAGCACCCCCTCGTGCCCAGTGCAGAGCCACAGGCGGTGAGCGTTCTCTCAGGCCCTCATGGCAGTCCATCCCCCGCACACCTCATCACTCTGCCGCTCACTGTGCTCGGGCCACGATGGCCTTCGGCTGCTCCTCTAGCCCACCGGGCACTTAGCTTCTGTGGGGCCTTCACATCTGCTATTCACTCTGCTTGGAACACTCTTCCCCTAGGTAACCTCAGGGCTGGCCCTCCCTCTGTGCAAGTCTCTGCTCCAATGTTACCTCCACAGTGAAGACCACCGTGTCCAAACGAGCACCCCTCCCCACGGGTTCCCGCACCTGCACCCTTTCTCCATAGCACTCATCACCACTTAATATCACAGGAATGAATTAATCTGTTTGCCTGTCTCCCCTACTTAGTGGGCACAGAGTCTCTGCTCACTGCTGGAACACTTCCTGGTCACAGTATGTGATCTTGTTGAATGAATGCCCTTTTATTCAGCTAATCTCGACCTAGTATCTGCTATAGCCCTTTATGGCAAAAGACAGAAATGAAATTGGCTTCTGCCCTTTAGGAATCCAGAGTCCAGTTAATTCACCTGAGATTAAAATACACATCTCAAAACAGTCTTGGTATTTTCGTTATTTTTTCTCGGGGAGCTAACTAGTCATGCCTCTCCCAGCAGGTCGGCAACTGCTGACCCAGGGAACACCAACACACGCCCCCTGGTCCTCCCTGAGCATGGCTGTGCTCAGGATTAACGTTCCCACAAGAAAATCGACTTCAGCGGCCAATAAATTTTCTTTTACTCATACAATGTGGTTAAAAGCCCTCAAAAGCCTGAGCTCAGATTTAAAAGTGGGAAATAGTTACTGAAAAACAACAAAACCCTGAAGTTGTGGTTCCTCTTGGAAGGCAGAAGATTTGACAAGCTGGGCCGCATCCCCACTGGGGAACTTGGGCTGGAACTTTCTCCCACTGAGCACAGGTCCAGCTCCCCAGGCCCATCCCACACTCGGCCTATGCCTGCCTGCTCCTAGGAGGACTTGAGATTCCGGGATGAGAACAGGAATCTCAAAACAGCCTGGAGCTTTTCTTCAGGGAGCTTAAGCCTCTGTTCAGGTGGCACTTGCCACCCCAGGTAGCACAAACGCCCCCTCTCTCCAGGAACCCGTTCTCCCTCCTGGGAGCTGGGGGAAGCCTGCAGTCCTTTCCCAGCCAGCCTCACCTGCCCACTCCAGCATGTGCTCAATGTTGTCCGCTGCCCCGGGCACCAGGCGGGTCTGGTCCGTGTCCTCCAGCCGCAGAATGAAGCTCCCTCCGTGCTTCTTGGCAAAGAGGTAGTTGTACAAGGCAGTGCGGAGGCCCCCCAGGTGCAAGAAGCCTGGTGGAAGAGAACAGCTCAGAAGACAAGGAATGTGAGCTGACGAGCCTCAGTCAAGGGGCAAGCAAGCTCTGTTTGTAACAGAATGCCTCAAAGAACATCAAAGCCCAAGAAACCGCTACCTCCGTCCCATCTCTCCAGCTAGCACCTGGACAGTCAGACTGCACAGAGGACAGGGTGATGACTCATTTAGCCCCTCTTTCTGGAACAGGGAGACCACCCAAGTTTGGTAGGTCATTTTGTAAAAAGGCTCCAACTCCCTCCAAATGCAACCATCACCCTACTTTGAGATTTGCCTCAAGGCCACGTTTCACCCAAAGAAGAGGCAGAGGCTGAGCCACTGAAGCCGCTGTCACATGTGCATTTAACTTATGCAAATTCAATGATGTGCTTGGAAAAAATTAATTACAAATTTAAAATACCATAAAATGATATCTTACATACACCCTCAATGCACTGTCATGACTATCCTCATTATACATTTTGAATTTTGTCTACTTGAGATTTTTACATTAAGTGCTAGCTTTAAACTCGAACCAAAAGTAACCTTTGATTCCACATTTCTCTTCACCTGAATTTAAACTCCTAAGATTTTTTTTTAATTAATTTTTTTACAGAGAGGAAGGGAGAGGGATAGAGAGAAACATTGATGAGAGAGAAATATCGATCAGCTGCCTCCTGCACACTCCCTACTGGGGATGTGCCCGCAACAAAGGTACATGCCCTTGACCGGAATCGAACCTGGGACCTTTCAGTCTGCAGGCCGACGCTCTATCCACTGAGCCAAACTGGTTAGGCAACACCCCTAAGATTTTACTTTTCCATCATTCTTGACTGACAGCTTACAAGGAACAATTTCCCCAGGGCTGTCATTTCCCCTTATCCTACCTGCTTAGGTTTAGCCCACGGCCCTGTCTGCACAATGAGCTCACCTGCACCTCCAAGTACAGGAGACAGCACAGCTAGCTCCCTTAGGGTCAGGCAGACTCATTTCAACAGATATGTGTGTGACCTCCAGCTAATTACTGCGAGGCCACCACAAAACCAGCGGTCCCCAAGACAGAAGACAGGGGTCTAGCAGTTAAAAACAAGACCTCCTTTTTTTTTTTTTTTTTTTTTTTTTTTACAGAGAGGAAGGGAGAGGGAGGGAGAGTTAGAAACATCGATGAGAGAGAAACATTGATGAGCTGCCTCCTGCACACCCCCTACTGGGGATGTGCCCGCAACCCAGGTACATGCCCTTGACCAGAATCAAACCTGGGACCCTTGAGTCCGCAGGCCGACACTCTATCCACTGAGCCAAACTGGTTAGGGCAAAGCAAGACCTCTTACAGGTACAGAGACCTGGATTCAAATCCTGCATTCACCATTTACTAGCTGGTACCCCTCCGACTTAATTTGGATGAGCTCCATTTCCTCATCTATGAGAGGGATTAAAAACAAAAAATAGACACCTTCCTGATAGGGTTGCTGTGAGGCCTAAATGCTGACCCAAGAACACCCTTTAGTGAAGTTTAGCTATTGTAATGACCTATGTTGCTTGATAATCCTTTTATCTGCCTGTAGTCCACAGCCTTTGCCATATGGGCTGCTCCTGCAAATCAGCAAGAAAACACTAATAATAACAATCAAAATAGAGGCTACTGTTTATGAAGTGCTTTCTATAAGTACCAGACCTTGCCAAGTGCCTCACTACATTATCTCAAACCCATGAGCTGGGTACTATCACTAGCCCTGTTTGACAGATAAACTCAGAGCCCCTGGGTAATTTCTCCAAGTCACACGGCTCGGAAGAAGTGGCAAAGCCAAAAATATGTACCTAATCTCAGGCTTTGGCTCCCAAACCAGTGCTGGTCTGCAAACTGTTGCAAGGAAGCACAGAAATTGAGAGCAAAATGCTGAGAGCAGCAGTTTGACAGGACAATTTCCTTTTTAATTAAACAAAGTAGGCTCATATTTTGTATGCTTTTTAGGTTTTCGTTTTTCTAGCAATCCACTTATACTAATTTTATAAAAGTACCGATCCGTAATGCTGTAGCTCTGTGCAGCTGGGATCTTGCCACAAAGGCAGCCTTATATACTGACCCTGGGTTTCAGGAGAGGCAGGTTCATTGTGAAGTCAGAGGCAGCCTCGTGAGAAAAGAATTTTGGGAACTGGTGAGTGAAAGGGTTGATCAAGAAACAGGGCTCTACCTCAGCAGGGGCTAACAAGAGAGCTCAGTTCTGGGGACGGGTGGGGAGGCCCTGACACGACTCCACTGGGGTATTCAGTGGGCCCCGAATTCCCGTTGGCTTGCTTAGCTCCAACACTAGCCACTGGGCCTGTGTACCTGCAATTTCCTCTGCTCAGGTTCCTCCTATACACTGCATTCTTGTCATTTGGTTCTGAGCTCAAATGTCACCTCCTCAAGATGTGCTTGAGCATCCTACCTAAACTAACCCGTCACCTCTCCTGCTTCATTTCCCATGTGGCACACGTGACTGCCGCGGCCACCAGAGTAGGGGCCCTACTTTCTAGATGGTCATTGTATCGCAGCGGAACAGTGCCTCGCAGTGTGTACTTAGCACACATTTACTGAATACGTGAAAAAAAGACCGAAAGAGAGGTGCAACCCAATAAACAACGAAATTCTTGGCCACGGGAACAATTTCCGCTCCTGGACCTGTTCCTACCCCTGCAAAATAGGGTCGCGCTGCCCTCCCAGGCTAATCCACCGGAAGGGGTTCGTTGGAAACATTCTGGGGGCGGGCACCGGACGATGGGCTTCGGCCTGCAGCGTCACGTCCCCTAAGATTACCTGTGGGGCTGGGGGCGAACCGCACTCGCACCGCAGCCCCAGAATCAGTGCCCAGGCTGGCCTCACGCCGTCCCAGGGAGCGCCCCAAGACTCCCGGGGGCCTCCCTGGCTGCAGCAGCTTCCTCAAGAGCACCGCCATGTGGGTTCGACT